GGGTTTCAACAACTGAAACGCGCACAGAAATTCTTCCGAAACACTCAGGACTCCTCCAAATTTTTCAACCTCTAAGAAAATACCCCCCCCCCCCCCCAAAGATTAATCAATACACTTTCTCTTTTGTGTTTGTTTTTGTATGAATCAAGAAGAAGTACCTCCACAATAGTTTGGTGCCGAGAAAATCGTGACTAATGTCCGTTCATTCCAAAACTCATAGCCATCTTCGACGACCATATGAGCCCTACAAATAAGATCGAAATCGTATCTAAAAACACGATGTTAGTGTATGGGGGGGGGGGGGAAGATGAGATAGAAGGTAAAGTACCTAGCCAAGAACTCAGCGATGACGCTTTTGCCGAAGCAATACGAGACGCCGCGTTCGTTATCTTCCCAATCGGTGGCGGTATCGGAGGGGTCGGACCAGAGGAGATCGTTGAGGAGGCCGAAGTCGGGGACGTCGGTGGGCCGCTGGATCCGACGGATGTCGTCCATCGTCGACAGGGAGGGGGACAGGCCGCCGTGGACGCAGAAGATCTTCGAGGCGACGACCGCCGAGATCGGCAGACAGTTGAACACATCGATAAACGTCTTCCAGATCTTGATGTTGCATCTTCGTTTGCATTCGTCGTAGAATCCATACACTGTGTGTGTGTTTTTTTGGCCAGGGTTAGTTTTAGATAGAAGGAGAGAGAGAGAGAGAAAGACGGACCTCTGGTGACGTTGGCGCATTCGTGGTTGCCGCGTAAGAGGAAGAAGTTTTCAGGATATTTGATCTTGTAGCAGAGCAGGAGGAGGATAGTTTCCAAGCTCTGTTTACCACGATCGACGTAGTCGCCGAGGAAGAGATAATTAGCCATCGGTGGGAATCCGCACATCTCGAAGAGGCGGATGAGGTCAGAGTATTGGCCATGGACGTCGCCGACGATCTTGACGGGCGGACTGAGTTCGATGAGGGTGGGTTGGCTGAGGAGGACCTCCCTGGCAGCGAGACTGATGGCAGTGATCTCGGAGTTCTTGAGACAGACGGATTTGGTGATCTTGGTACTGTATCCTACATCGAGTAGTCGGTTGATGATCTCATCGATATCGAAGGCTTGATTTGTGGTTGTTGTTGTTGTTGTTGATAGTGTGTTGGTGAATCCGTTGGTCTGTAGGACTGGGTTGGGTCTGTTTGCGAGGATGGTTGAGTTGTTCTCGTTGTTGAGTTGCTGCTGCTGGTGGTCGTTGTTTGAGTTGTTAGTTTGTTGTTGCTGATACTGCTGCTGCTGCTGTTGCTGCTGCTGTTGATTGTTTTCGAGTGGTTTTGATGATGAGGATTGAGTTGGTTGTGGTGTTGATTCGCTGATTGAGTTATTCTTTCGATGATGCTGATGTTGTTGTTGTTGTTGTTGTTGTTGATGTTGTTGGTGTTGTGGTGAGGATGAGTGGGTTGGTTCGTAGTCTGCTGGTGGTTCTTCGGTGATTGATGGTTCGCGTTCTCTTAGTCTTGTCCTAAGTTTCTTTGATGGGTTGTTTCCCATGTTAGTGGTTAGTGTTGGTGTGTTGTTGGTGTGTTGTTGGTTGGTGTGTGGTAGTTTGAGATGGTTTGGGAGGAGGAGGGGGAGACTGGCAGGCAGGGGGGGAGCGGAGGGAAGCTCATGACCAGGTTTCATCACTTTTAAGGTTCACACTCCAACTTACTACATCCGAACATCCTCAAAAAAAAAAAAAACACTTCTCCTATCAAGTCATCCTCCTCAACTAACCACCAATCTGAATCCATCAGTAACAATCCAATCAACTTACATAGGAGACTCATTCCATCATCACTAGGGCCAGGGGGATCATCAACCAGACATCAAACAACCACCCATTCAAATGGTTTCTATAACTTTAGGCCTAGGATCTTCCAAACTACTGCTAACAAACACAGCATAAACTTCTTGATGTGGTTCAAATAAAACATTTATTTCCAAAATGCGGTTGGAGATCAGGGTAACTTCAACAACACCTTGAGCTGGATACAACTGTAGGATTGCACATCATAGTATACTTATCAAGGGAACTGTCCTACAAAGTTCATCAGCACTTTCTGATCAAATCATCACAGCACATTAAAGCTTGAAACCCTAGTCCTGCCTTCTTACAATCTTATCATCATCATCATCATCATCATATCATCTTGTATGCTTCTCACCACTATTTTTTTATTTTTCCTTTCATTGATCATCATCTGATAATTGACACAGTCTCCAATCTTGCTCTTAGCCAATCATTAAGATACCTTCAATCAATGTTCATCAACACTCAATAATCAGATCATATTACTCATCAATCCAGTTTTCTAATCCAATAAAAGAAAAAACATGAAGGAGAATTACATGAAGGAGAATTGAGGGTTTGCATCATGCACCATGGAAGCAAAAAAAAAAAAACATTCTGGAAGGAAGCTGCTTGAAGTGGTGTTCCAGATATAAATCTTTTTTTGGACTGTTTTGGACAACAAGATAATAAACAACTCTCACTCTCATATCTTTCAACTAATACTTTGGAAGAAGAAAAATTTATTTGGGGGAGCCATTTCATGAAGTGGTTTCCAAAAAGATTGTTGAAACAAAACAAAACAAAAATCCATTCTGCAACCAGCTCACAACCACATTAGAATCAAAACAAGATGGTTTGGGATGAGTACTACTCAACCAAAAAACCACACTTCTCAACCAAAAAGGCGGGGTTTTGAAGTTACTCCAAGAGCTGCTACTTAATTACAATTAGTGTACACCCCCAGCTGGTGTATCCAGAAATCCCAATCTGGGATATTCTTGTCAATCTTTGGCTTCTTCACATCATCCTTTTTCAGGTTTCCTCACTCCCAATTCACCACCCATTGTGGAGAAAAATTTGACTTGAGTAAAATGGCTGTTGAGTTTTTCAGCTCTCCGGTCTACTCTTGCCCAAAATCACTCCTTTCTTCACCTTTCTCTCTCTCTCTTTTTCCTTTCTTGAATCTTTGGACTGAATTATGGTATTTTACTGCTGGTTTTATGTTGAATCTTGTGCATTTTGGGAGTCGATTTAGAACTATCAAAGCAATTTTATCAACAACTCCAGCTGTCTCAGTGATTGATCTCTTTCCTTTTCTATTTCATTATTCAATTCATTAAAATCTGATTGTCTAGAATTAGCAACTCTATTCATTTGTGGTGGAGTGTATGTTTTGTCATGATTAATATTAATAGCTTGTCTAACAGAGACTGAGAAGACTTGTCCGGTTATTTCTTCCATGAACTCATATATTTCCTCCTCTCAGTTTTTATTCAAAACAATCTTTTATTCAATTTTATTTCTACCACATTTTGATCACTTGTATGTAGTCTACTTAAGCTAGCCTAAATACAGTGAATAAAAAATCATTGGTTCTTCCACTCATTTTCCATGAACCTCTCCCAAAAAAGGCCTTCAACCTTTTTTGTGCCATTTCCTCAAATTCCTCAGCATTTGCCTGTCTTCAGCTCTAAAATTCAACAATGGCCATCACATGATCATCTCCATCAATACATGTTTGGCAACATAATAGTAATACCCATACGTATCAGTTCAAAAAGATGTGTAAAATCCAGGCGTTTTTTTATAATTGGGATGAGAATATCAACAAGATCAAAAAAGATAAATAGAGATCAAATGCAGGTTATCATTTTTTTTTTGGGGGGGGGGTCAAAAACTGATAAGGCTCAATTGAAAAGGCTTGACATAAGTTCCAATCTAAAGCAAAGCATGTGTGAAAGTTTCAAAATTTAAATCAAGATCAGAATATCCAGAACATGTCAGAAGCTTCCAACGATCTTTGACATAGAAATCATTCTCAGATTTGAATCTCAACACAATCCCATTGAAATATGGCTTAAAAAAAATTCATTGGCATGTTCTTTGCCAAGATCAACTAACCCAAGACTAATATGCATATACCTGCGGCTGGGCTTGTGCTGGTCCAGGATGAGTGATCACCACTGTAGTTGGACCTTGAGCAGGTGGTGGTGGTGGCGTGATAGGGAGAGGCGCGGCGGCGGCGGCGGTGGTGGTGGTGGTGGCGGCGGTGGTGGTGCCGGTGCCGGTTGTTGTACGACCACAACGGTATGGGTGGGTGGGGGCGGCGGGTATCTTGGAGGACATTTGCACGCTTCACCCCAGTAGGCCGGGGCACCATCGTAAAGATATCTGATTAAGATTCATAATGAGCATCAAGAACGATCCTATAAAGGGTGCGAAATTTCAGTCACTCACTCGTGGCAACAAGCTTGACAGCATGCATCCACTTTCCAGACCGTACAACCCTTGCGTTTGTTGGGAATCGCACAAACTGGATAATCAAGAGGTATTGGAATCCGCATCGAAACCTCTTCCCGTCAGTTTTACTATCTTTTGCAGACAGAGGGGCCATGGGTTGGAGGAAAAAAAGTAAAAGAAGGGCCTACAGCTGCGCTTTTCAAGCATATGTTGGCGAGCTGGACTGGTCTCTTGTGCGCCAAGCACCTGAAGTAACGGCAGCCCCGAAGCCAGAAAAAGGAGCCATATGCTTTGGGGCGAAGGCATTGTACAAGTATTCTTGGAAAGCCTAATGAGCTCGGCTAGAAAGCTAGATGGTGGAAATTTTGGGCAGAAAATCTACGATGTGAAAAACTATTGTTAAAGGCACTTGGAAGTTGGAGAGACGAGTGGTGGCGAGAAAGCGACTAGATGCCATCTGTGCGACTATTTATGCTGATCCCATGCCCGTCTGTTAGCCGTGACCAAACACCGATCGTGTCTCATGATCTGTACTCGTTGCGGACGAAGTCGTGTTTTTGTCTGAAATCCGACCATGGCCAAGCAAAGTTTGTAGGATGTAAGCGCAGGTTTGGTCTCTGTGATACATGCCAGAACAAGCTTTCTGCATGGCTCCAATGAAACGTGTCCTCGGAGAAGACTGCTGCCCCCGGCCAAGCGAGGTATGTATGGCTTGGCTATGACCAACTCAACACTCGATTCTCTCGGCGATACCAATGAGGAGTGCGCTTATCTGTTCCTCTCCCGGGCCCGACAAGTAAATGAAAATGTACAGGAATCATATCGCTCTCGGCACGGACTGCCAGATTGAAGGATGAAGGGGGGCTATGCTACAGTATTCTTTAGATCGGTGTCGCCAATGCAAACAAGTACACAACTGAGTATATATGGGGATAATTGGCAGCACCTGCGGTCACGGCGAAGTGAGGATTGAGGATAGAGTCCGCGGAAACTGTGCTACGATTGTTGTCGATTCTCAGACTCCCTTTGTTTTTGAACTAGTACAGACCAGACCGAAGCTTTGAATAGGGTTAAGACCAATCCCATCTTCCTTTCTAGCGGCAAAAGACCTTCCAATAAGTACGGCGGCAAACTCGAAAGTTCGTGGGCTGAATTAGACATCTGAGGAATACACACACACGGTTCAAGATTTTGAGTATTAGGTCTTCTTTTTAGCAGTTGGATTGTGAGAGAGGGACATACCCGGTCTAGTAGCTCAACCATCCGCCCATATTCGTCAAGAACTTCGGCTTCTAACTTGTTGGTCGTCTGTCGGATCTTAGTTGGATGGTCCATGATCCAGCTTGTTGAATGACCGACGTGTTTGTTCGTGAGGCACTCTGATTTGCTGATTCGGTGAGGTGAGGTGGGCTGTGAGCCTGCAGTGTCCAAGTTTCATCGATGACGTCCAAGCTTGGAGATGGATTCGCCCTGCGCGCGTCAAAGCGCAGCGTGCGGCTTGGTGAACTCCACTGCCACAGATATCCCCACTTTCCACTTTCACCACACAGGAGGTGAACACTGAAGCTAACACAAGCATCTTCTTGCGGATGACCAGGGGATCAAGTTCTATCCATGCCAGTTTTACAAACAGATGCATGAAAGCCAAAGTATCTTATGTTTTTTTTTGTTGGTCTTGAAATACAAGTCACCTGAAGGAAAACCTGTGCATGACTCAAAGTTTTCAGAATGACAAAATACCTAAAATGCCAGATGTGGAAGAATCAGTTCACTGAAGTGCAATCTTAAGAGAGAACCAGAATATATTCAATTCAATCAGACCATCAAAGATGGCTTGAGATATGGTGGGTCCACTACAAGTCCATTAGAATTTACATAGAATAACACAGCATAACAGAACAGGTTTTCTGTGGTGTTCTGTATTGTAATCCCAATGAAAAATTTCTTGATCAGACAAATATGTATGCTTTTACTTCCATAAACCATGCTATTTTATGCTTGCCAAGATCCTTACAATGGAGATTTATTTCTTGGAATGCATCACCACTGATTTACAATCTGCACCGCTCCCCTTGGCTGAAGCTGGTTTGTCTCCAGAACATGTGCATGCTGTTTTATTTAGTTCACGGGTCCTTCGATCTGAACCTGTAACAAATGTTGTTGAGTACATAGCCTAAGGAGCCGTTTCAAACTTGCACACAAAAAATCGAAACCAATCCTTCGTCAACCTTCCAAGGGGGTGTATGTTTTGGGTCGTGAATTATTTCATGTTTGCTTGTGAATGTCTAAAAGCCTTTGTAGCTTTACTACAAACAGACATCCTTTGAATTACCTCGGGCAGCCTCGAGAGCCTACACAACCAACACCAACCTTTGCCGGAACAACACTCTAGTCACAATTTGTCGTCGAGTCCAAGTGAAATGGTCAATTTCTTCAAGTTCTCGATCCTGCTTCAGAGCATCTGTATTTGCTTGATTATCAGGAGTTCAGAAGGTTAGAGTAATTCTTTTGGTTCGGATTTTGATTCCTGAATAGAAAGGCAAAGTGGTTGTTGACTTATTAAATATGATTTGTTTGTCGCAGGTTCTTCTGATCGCAAGCCAATTGGACGAGTGGTCTATGCGTCAGATTTTGAGATTCAAGTCATCCCTACGTGGTCATTAGGAAGCTACAATGATGAACAAATGAACTTTATAGGACCCACAAGGGGTATGGCAATGGATCAAGAGACTTCGTCAATTTGCAGTGGAAATTCAATCCTTCTGAAGTTTTCTATTCCTCGGAGCTCACCACAAAGCTCGAAAGTTGGGCAACAAGAGGACGGGCATGAAGATTCGAAGCATCGATTTGCCTTATATCTAGAACCAGACAGCACTCAATTTTTGCATCCCAACGCCACGATAATTACTTACCAATCCAGCAATGGAAGTTCAACTCATTCAAACCAACAGCTTCCAATCTCTAGGCCAATCATTGCAGACGAAGTGCTAGCCTATTCTGGAACAGCAATTGATGACAATGATCCAAAAAGTTTAGATGATAGTTACCATCTCCGCTTTAACAATTGGGCCAATGTCTTAATCCATCATCCTTACGGCACAAAGTGCGTCAGGAATTCTGATGATCTGATTTTGGAGGGCGCGTTCCAAGTCAATGGTCGTCTTTGGCACATCAAATCACTTGATTCTTACCAAAAGAGCAAAGGTCCATATGATTCTCAGCCAAACGAGTTAAGCTCCGCTCCCGAACTGAAACACAAGTGGGTAGTGTGGGCCGACTCAAATGTTCTGAAAACTGATGGGTTTGTTAGATTGTTTCCCTTGAACATCCATCCTTCTTCAATAGTCAAGTTCGGGAAGGTACAGATTTCTCCTAGTCAGTTTAACCCAGCTAAAAACGCATTTTTCTCTTGCTTCTTCGTACAAAATAACCTCTAGTCAAAAAGAAAGTATTCGGCAGCAAGCATCTCGGGAAAAGCTATCGAGTAGGGTGATTAGCAATTCAACGGAGACCTCATCGCTTCAAATAACATATACCGAGAGTTCAACTCAACACTATCTCCAGAAACGACAAACAATGACTAGTGACATAGCTGGCTTGACTGGCGACAAAGTTAATTATGCGAGTACAATTGGCTCGACGGATGGATGTCCCAAGAGCCCAAAAATGGTATACATCGGCATTGCAGTAGATTGCACCTATCTGAGGAAATATGGATCAACTGATGCAGTCAGATTGGCAGTTTTGAATAACATGCATCTGGTTTCATCGGTTTATCAGAGAACCTTCAATATCTCCTTAGGCATAGTCGAAATCAACATGCCATCTGAATCAACTTGTCCTTCGCAACCTTCCTCCGATCGGCCTTGGAATGTCGATTGTCCCGATGCCTCTTCACAGGGCCTCGATATCAATGAGCGTTTGAACAAATTCAGTAAATGGAGGTCAGATAAAGGCGGCTCTGATGGCGCTGGATTATGGCATTTGTGAGTCCAGACCAAATACTGTCTGTAGGACTGTAATGCGTTGTACGGGAACGAGCTTTTTCTCAGATTCAAAATCTGATTATCAGAAGTAGTTCAAAGAGAAAAATAGCAGACTCACAGTTCTTCAACTTGATACTGACTAACAAACAAATTCGCTTTTGTGTTCCCCAAAAACAGGCTAACTGATTGTCCAAACGGAAGTCAAGTAGGTGTGTCTTGGCTGGGATCGCTATGTAAAGTGAATGCGGAGCAGGGTGCCAATGGTGGGACGACTAGTGGGACGGGAGTCACCGCTTCAACACCCAATGAATGGGAAACTATGGCTCATGAAATTGGACACAAGTAAGTTGGAAAGCCATTCTCCATGTTAATACGTATCTGACAACTCATTTTCTTCTGGCAACCAACGAAAATCATAAACATTATGATGGATTTGATAAGCTTTGGAGCGGTTCATGATTGTGTATCAGGATGTAGTATGGAAGACTCATGTTGTCCAGCTTCGACTTCAAGCTGTAACAATGGCGACCAAAACATCATGGCGCCTTCGAGCACGAGTGGCTCAACCGGCACGTTTTCTGCTTGCTCCATAGGAAACATTTGTAGCAACTTTAAGCCAGGAAACAGTCAAAGGATGGATTCCAGTTGTGTTGCGGATCTAGGACAACATTACACGATCTCACTCAATCAATGTGGTAATGGAATCCTCGAACCCGGCGAAGATTGTGATCCTGGTCAAACCTTCTCTCCCTGTTGTCAGTGGGGTGTGTGCAAATTCTCGCCCGGTTCGGTTTGTATGCCGTCGGCCAATTCTCCCTGTTGTTCTACTAGCTGTCAATTTGCACCAGCTTCTACTCCTTGTAATTCTTCTGAATCCCTCTCCGCAACGTGCTCGGGAGATAGTCCCAACTGTCCTTCAGGTACAGGTTCAGAAAATCCATCATTCTCTTCTTCCTTTTAGTTTTGGCTTGGTTTCTTGCTTTCTGTCTCATAAAACTATTCATAATATTCGAAGACATTAGCAATTTGAATTCTCTTTCCCCAGCATTCTGGTTCAAGCAAAGGTATCAAAAAGAATAAATTTATCAAAAAGAATGTCAAAAACTTATGATCGCATTGAACTTTATCGTGTACATTTAGGTCTGTTCTGTGATGTTTTTTGCTGTGAAAAATAAGATGAAGATGTGTTACAATGATGAGAATATGTGATATCTATCATTAACATTAAGAACAACGCTGGGCCAGCTACGCTAACGGTAGTGTTAGCCTAGCGTACTGTAGCACAGATACGCTACATTGTAGCGTAGTGTTAGCACAGATTTCTGTATCTGCACTAATGCTACGCGTATAGGCCGCAAAAAAGGGCCCACTCCACTGCGCTACAGCGCATTTTAGCGTTTTTTTTTTGGCCATTTTTGCCGCTAAAAGCACTGTAGCGCAGCGTAGTGGCACTAACAGCGCGCTAACACTACAGGTTTGGCGCACTGTTCTGAGGGCCGCTACGCTAACATTAGTGTGCCATTTAGCGTAGTGTAGCGTAGCGGCCCACCGTTGTTAAGAATTAACCAAATGATCTGGGGTACAGCCCCTTGACAGAATAAGCCAGACCCCTGCTTGCTGAAGTTGCCTGGAGGGGTTCCATTGTTCATGTTGAGGGGCTGCACATGATCAAAACAATAAGCTAACTGGATGATAAGCAGATATTTTATATGCTTGTAAGTTTCCTCATCAAATAAATCGGATTCATCCTAGGAGCAAAATCATACAAATCAAGATAACTCTCAAGAGAGATGAGGAGAATACACAAGGAAAATAAATGCATGCACAGGTGGCCCAACTTTTTGCATAAAGGTTAAAGCAGTTCCAAAAAGGTTGTATATTAAGAAAAGTTTAGACTTGACCATAAGTTTCAATAAACTTGGTATGCAGATCATTGCAGGGATTGGCCCAGACGCCCATTGATTAAGGAAAATATTTGAGCAAGAGGGTATCAGAATTAACCATCCATTATGGAAAATTGTTGCATTTTCCATAGCTTTTAAGTAACTACTTACAAATGATTGTCCGTAGGAGGAAATTCCATCTTATAATTTTATATCTACATAGTGAATTTCAGATTCCTTTGGAATATCAACTTTGACTCACGCTGCTTTCACATAATTATATTGGCTGCCCAAAACAATTTTTCAATTATCTTATGGTACAATGCTAAGACTGTTTTGAAGATAAAGAATTATGCTGATAAAAAATTGATAATGTTGACATATCATTTTAGGTTTTAGTGGCAAGTTCATGATTGAGCTTTGAATTGCCGGCTTTAAAGTGTTCCTGAGAATCCTGAGTGAAACTTCATAGAATTTTCCATTTGAGTAGGAATTTCAGAAACCAAATATGTGTAATTCTCAACAGCACCCTGGAATGCTACTGCAACCGTTCAGGTTTTTTTTACTTTTTTACAGCATTCTGAACCCATGGGGTTATGGCAAACCTTAATGTCCATAAACATGGCTTTATAACTCACAAGCCCATACTTATGTCCTGTAAGACCCATAAAACCCAGAAGCAAAGACAGGTTTACATCTGGCAAGCCCCTTAGAGCACTATTTAGGCCATCAAGCCCCTCACTCTGCCCTATTTGCCAAAATATAGGATCTCTGCACTCAACATTCTGAACACCCAAAAAAGGTGTACAGTAATATGGGTATTTCTACTGAACATAGGAAAGATATCAGGGAGCCAGTACATAGGAGTTGCCAAGATGTCTTGGAAAATTGGACAGGTTGCCAAGTGTATCATACATGCTATGCCACTTGACTGATGGAAGCAGGTGCTTGTATACTGTATCCTTGCATTTCAATGTAGTTTATAGTGCTCCAAATTCCAGAGCATTCATCACTCAAGCTAAAATCTTGAAATGAAACTAACTTGAGCAAGGGACCTTTATTGGGCATGATTCTTAACCTGCACTTACATACAATTTTTGGAACCCAAATGCAAACAGAACAGAGAACTTTTATGAGCTGAAAAATACCAATGAAACACATGGGACACTAAATTTTTAATTGTTTCATAATCATTGAATTGGAAAATTTTTAAGTCCCTCTTGGTGGGTTGGGCCTTTACTCTTCAGTACTGACTAATTTCTTCAAATTTTAAAAAATTGAATAGTATACAATCCACAACCTCAATGCAGCTCTAAACTAGAAAGCTAAATTACAATTCAAATTACCCCATGAACAGGACCAACCATTAAGATCATCATGATTTCCCCCAAACCTTTCTGCTTCATGAATGTGTGCCAGAAATCCCCAAATTGGAAGCGTGCAACCAGCCAAATCTTGTTGATACTTTTTAATTGCACATGCTTCACCGCCACTATGCTCAAGGAAAGCCGTCCTTTCATCTCCCCATTTTCAGAGAGAATGAATGTGGCAGAAAACCCTATTTTTAAGGACACAGCTTTTAATTTAGACAAAAAACAAATTGTGAATGATGGTGCTCTGGTCCCAGGAAGTGGAGAGCTGAATGCTCAATCAAGAAAAGAAGATCATGATGGGGCTTTCCACATTGACATCAAATCCATACTTGAAGAATATCCAGCCATAAGTGAGGAAGACTTGGTTTCAAAAGACAATTCTATCTTTCAGTTGCAAAAAGCCATCCAAAAACTTCAATTTGCTGCAGAATCCGTCAAACAACTACCAAAATTAAGAAAAGATCATCTTCAAGAACTAGAAAACTTCCAGCTTCTCCAGATTGAATGGAAGGACTATTTTGTCAACCACTTCCGATTAAAGAAAGGCACATATGATGATTTCTGCAAACTACGTAAGAAGTTTTATGTACCGGGTCACTCTCCTTTGTTCACAGCCTTGAAGCAAAGCTATGAACAATCCTTCCAAGAGTTGAGATCAGATAATTGGTGGTCTAAATTAATCAAATTCTTCCGTTATATTTTCAAAAGAGATGAATGGAGACAAGATATGGCTTCCATCAAGTTGAACAAAATAAGGAGAGGATTGAAAGAATCTCAAACTCTCAATAATGAAAAGCTGCTAGCTGCAATCAATCAGTTATCCATATCTAGGAGGAAGGGTCCAAATTTCTCAGAAAGAGAGTTACAACTGATTGAAAACATGTCCAGACAGCTTTCAACTTACTTCTGATAATGAGGCTCTGATAAATGAACTGGATGAGGAAACATTTGCACAACATACATTGAAAAAGATTGAAAAATTACAAGAAGCTTACTCCTCCAGCCTGGAGAAAACATCTGCAGAAACAAGAGAGCTTGTCTCTGAAGCCTTGAGACACTTTGAGGCTATGACATGGGATGGAAAACAATGGAAAAAACAAGAAAGGCAACTTTTTGAGAAGCTAGAAAAGATCAAAGAAATGAAAAATGCAACTAAGGGATTGGTTCTGAACAAGAAAACAAGCTCTTACCTCCACAATTGTGCTGAAAAATGGAAGCTACAGCATAATCGTCTCTTATGTGGAAAAGCGTTTCCGATCTTAAACATGAGCCCTAGACTGTTTGCAGAGGAAGAAGAGGTTCGGAAAAAGCTGAAGTTGTTTTGGGATAAAGGAAAACTTGGCCCAGCAGGTCCTGGATTTTCCCTGGAGGAATTTTATTCAGATGCACAAATTGAAATAATCCATCAACATGCCACCCACTTTGATTCCGCAATAGAACATCTTTTCAACTTGGGAAAAAATACAAACATGGCCCAGACATATCTTGATGAATTAGAGAATATTGTCAACAAGATGAAGAAAGAAGAAACTGAAAAGGAGAAAAATGAACTGGCTTCTTCTGCTTTTGAATCATTGGCACATGAAGGTTTTCACTCCAACCTTTCAAAAAAGGAAAATGAATATGAGCATTACTCCAAGAAGTTTGATGTCCCAAATGGGAAGAAAACTTCAAAGAATGAAATGCAAAAAAATGCAATTGAGCAACTGATATTTGGGAGTGGAAAGATTCCTAAACACCTTGTGCATATTTCCAACTTGTTAATCACTGAAGATGGAAGCCATTTGATTGGGTTTGAAAATCAATTTGATAAATTGGTGATACATCTTAAAAAGAATGAAAGGAATGAAATAAAGAGGCTGATTGAACTATCTGAAGATGATGACCGATTCAAAAATGAAACCAAGTTTGTGCAAATTTTGAAGATCCTGATCAAGGTGGATGCCAGAGCAGAATATGATTTGGATTGGGGAAACAAATTCAGAATGAATTCAGAGATCATCTCCAAAGTCAAAGAGGATGAAGCTGAGGCTGTAAAATTTGGATCAAAACAGGTGAATTATTATTGCACTGAATTCAAAAGGATCACAGATTCCATCAAGCCCTTTTTGGATCAAACTGGAGCAGGTCTTGATTCAATGCTGAAAAAATGGAACCATTCTCCAACAAGATATCTGCAATAATAAAAACCTGCCCAAAATGCCTTTCTGGGTAGTTAACCAACTGTGAACAAGGTGGGGAAATCATTGGAGAAGGTGGCCAAAGTCACCCAAGCACTTGACTGATATTTTATTCTAAAGCAATTGTTCTATGTCTTCCATTTCTTATCAGTTTAAATATCCCTTTAGATTTTGGGAAATTCTAGGAAATTCAAAAGAAGCACATGTACTTTCATTGATCTCAAATAAAAGAATTAATTGTTTCCATGATTCTTTATCTTTTTTGATCTCTAAAAGGTGAAAAAAAAAACTTTTCTTTATCCCCCATCTGCCTCTTTCTTCCCAGGAGGTAATTCTCATGCAGTTTTGAGGTGGGTTTTTGCAGGTACTGGAGAACTTCCTGTTGTTATTTAGAGTGATTCTTAGACCTATCCAAGTCCTAAACTAACAATACAATCAAAATTGCAACCAGCTCACATGAGGGCCATTGCTTGAAGGGTTCTGGAAATATTTTTTTTTCTTCAAGATTGCAACTGGAAGTCATCCACTGGCAAATACATAATTCCTTTGCCCTGCTTGATTTCAGAAGTGCTCAAATCAGACACATTCACTTTTTGATTGAATTAAGGAATGTTGCAAGATGAGTGGAATCTAATTCCACCAGGGACTTGGGTGTTTCTGGACAAATGCCCACATGACTTGCCTTTTCATACTTTTAAAAAGGGACATGCAGCTCATCATGGTGCCAGAAAAGAATGACTTTAGGCCCAGAATTTGGAGGATAGCACTTGCAATGCCTGCAAGTTGAAAGTCTAGCATTGAGCTTCAGAATAGTGTTTCGTGCACCAAAGCGGAGCGGCCAGATATATCCGCGAGTTGGGTGTCCTGGTCGATCAGTCCGAGTCTTGTCGGTTATCCTCTCGGATCGGCTGGACCTGGTCCAGGAGTGCCAGAACTTCCAGCAGAAAGATGAGTAGGAGAGCCAAAGACAGCCCCTTCTGAATGAGATGACCACTACCACCAGAGCAATACTACGAACAACAACAACAACAACCAACAACCACCACCAACAACAACAACACTGGTTTCGCCATCCAATCCCACCCTACCACCACCTCACAAGCACAAAACAACCCAGAACAAACGACCCACTACTATTCCCAACTCACCACCAACAACAACAACAACAACAACAACAGCAGCAGCAACAACCACAACAGCAGCAGCATCCTCCTATCCAATACTCAGCTTATCCTACTCCAAACCCAGAAGGACCACCTAAAATCACTCGAGGAATCGCATCCTTCCACAATGCAGCACTCGTTTACCTCCATCGAGGACTCGCGATCGACTCCATCCAACACAACCCAGCCTCACATCATCCCATCCGATATCCAACAACATCCAGCACCCATCAGCATCCTCACCAAGACCCAGAGCCATTCCTCTCGGCCGTCATCAAGGGATTCAATCAGATCCTTCTCCTCGAAACTGGACTCGAATTCTCCCAGTCTCGAGAGGTCATGGAAGCTCTGATCAGGATCGTCCGAAAGAAATTGACTATCGCTCAAGGATTAAACGACCACCAACGAAACGAGATCTGGCAGGCATCAAAGCAAGTCATCATCCACTCGGCACTGAGACCGAGGATGTCGAGTGTGGGCGAATGGGCATGGGAAGAGATCGCCCGGGGGAACTACGAACGGCTGGCCGAGGTCTGGACTGGGATCCTGGAGATTGTCGATCAGAGGCATGGCCGGGCCGATCCGGATGGGCCGCCGACGACGATCGGATTGGACGAGGGCTTCTTTACAGCATTGGTCGTGGTCTCCTCGACGCTCACCGAAGGGCCCGGCCTGGCTCGGCTGGTCCAGTCTCTGGTTGACCGGATCTGGTCCCGCGTCCGGCCCGCCGAGCAACTCCATCTCCTCCACCATCTGCCCCAGCCCACCCGCGCCCGCTTCTTCCTCCGCGCCGTCGAGCTTGGCCTGCTCTGGCGTCGGCCCGTCGAGGATGAGCTCGATCACTCTACCTGGCTCGTCGAACAGGACGAACGGATCGTCCATCTCATCCGCCGCAACTTCCTCGCACAACAACCTCAATCGCTCCAGTACTGTCTCGATCTCTCCGCACGAATCCAGGAGGCTGTCGATGGCACCAAGGGCGAGCCCGGCTGGCTAGCAGTCGACTGGACTCAGCCTAACACTGCCACACCACCCCCCGGAGAACCAAAGAAACCAACTTCATCTCAACCTGTCAGAAGAGAGATCATCTTAACACAGAAAGTCATCGGTACTCTATTGAATGGATTCGCAGAGAATGGGATGATCGAACAAGTTGAACAGCTGATCAGTTTTTCCAGAAGGCTAGGAGGAATGAACCGATACCTATGGTCGGCGATCCTACGAGGATTGTCGAAACAGAGTAAGAATGGGGGTTTGGTGAAAGAGTTTGTGCGACGGATGGAGGAGGAAGACGGGGTTGAGCTGGACTTCAACATGAGATGCATCCAGATCAGCGGGCTGATTGGGAGCGACTTGGACGCCGGCTTGGAGGCGATCGACCAGCTGTTACTCCAATCTGCTGCTGGGAAGAGCGGGGAGAGTCGGAAGAAGAGCAAGCTGCCGATCGACGCGATTAACTCGATCGTCTCGGCCCTGCTCCGACATCGGATGCTCGAACGGGCCGAGACCCTCCTCGCCACGCTCTCCGACCGTCTCGCACCAAACACGACCACCCTCAACCACTTCCTCAATTACCACTCACGTCTCCAGCACCCCGTCCTCGACGAAGTCCTCGACCATCTCAAACGCTTCGAGGCCCTCTCTGTCAAGCCCGACGTCGTCAGCTTCACCATCCTCCTCAACATCCTCATGAAACTCGGCCTCGGTCATGCCACAATCGAGAAGCTTCTCCTCATGATGGACCATGCCGGCGTCGAACCTAATGCTATCACGTACGGCTCGATCATCCATCATCTCTGTCGTAGTGGGAAGATCGAGGACGTCGAAGTGGCTCACAAATTGTTGGAAGAGATCGAAGAAAGGGGGATGTAAGTTGTTCTCCTCCGACCAACGTATCTCTGGATCTGATGGGTTTTCTCTATATTTTTTTCTCATATTGCATCTGTGTAGAGCCACGACAGATATCACTTATACGGCCTTGATCCAAGGATTTCTCCGGGCACATGTCCAAGAATACGAAGCCCGAACGGAAGGCTTCCCGATCGAGCCAGGACGGAGATCATCAGAAGGGGCGAATGGGGCGGGGCGACGGACGAAGCTATCGCGGGCGACGGAGCTGATTGCGCGACTGAAGAGTCGAGGGAAGCTGAACCAAGTGATCTACAATGCATTATTGAATGCACTCTTCTCGACCAGAGAGTTCGAGAGCGGCTTGGAAGTCTTCAAGCTGATGAAGCTCGAATTAGATTCCTCCCAAAATGCTCGCCCTGGGATCGAACTCTATGGAAACGGATTGGTCGACTCGTATGGGATCATCTTTAGGAGACTCATCCAGTTCGGCCAACTCGAACTCTTTCATACCGTCTATACCCAGTTCTTTCGAAACGAAAACTTCGCCTTCGTCCCCCTTTGGATCGAAAAATTGATCGATCGCTTCGAGAACTCGAGCTCTTGACTCTTTTTTCTCCTCCCTTCTTCTTTTTTTTCAGCTTCATTTTTTCATTTTTTATTAATTAGTATTGTTTTGATACCGTATTCCTTTTTTATTCAATAAACTCACTTTGTCCTCTTCTTCTTTTTTTGCGTTCATTTATACATACATACTTCCTATCCATATCAACGTTGCCTTTTTTTCTTATTCTGCGGAGTTAGTTGTATCAGATAAAACAAAACAAACACATAAATCGATCCAAGTGAAAAGTAAAACAATGCAGATTGATGAGATGAAGTAGGACGATGAGATGAGATGAGGGTCTCATTTGTGAGCGCTTGTGCAGTCTGTGACTGTGTATGTGTGTGTGTGAGTGTGTCAGCAGTGTCTGTTGAGATTTTCCTCTCTTTCTCTCTCTCTGCCCTTTACGATTTCTTATCACCTTAAATTAGACTGATTTAATTTCACCAAGTAGCTTGTTTTCTGGTTGTTTTCTGAGTACTCTTTTGAGTCAAATTTGAACCTTAAGAAATTAAGCTCAACTCAATCAATCTTGTCTCTACGGTCAGAATTTCTTCTTTTTCTAGTTTATTGTCTGATATTACAAAATCAGTTCACAAGAATTAACGCCTCTTGTTATTTGTGACTTGGAATATTTTCTCTTGACTAGCTCATTTGGCTTTTACTACAAGAGAATGAGAAGTACTGCGCAGATTGTTATTTTAAGAAGAACTTATTCTATTTTCTCTCAATTTTTTTTTATTCAAAATCCTTTTCTTTATTCATTTTTCTTTCAACCACTTTTTGACCATTTGTACCTAGTCTATAATTTAATCTGGGCTAGTTGCAAGTGAATAAAATCATTGGTTCCTTACATTCCTTTGCCTTGAACCTTTCCCAAAAAAGGGCCCCTGCCTTCTTTGTGCCGCCTTCTCAAACTTGCTCAACTTCAACCGCTCAAGAGCTCAAAAACTCAACAGTGTCATCCAGACGGAACTTCTTGGCACCTTTAATGTCCAATCATCCTCACCTCCCCCAACCAAATTGTGCAGTACTAATATCATTTGTCACACTGTGAATGGTTGAGAGACCTGGCTGGCCGCAGCGCTTCTTTCGGTCTGGAGACTAGACACGTCCGGTACAGTTGTATGTTACTCAAATGGGTTTTCATAGCGTTGAGGTCTTGGATCTATACATCAAACAATTGATTGCCAAAAACTTGGCTCTGCCCTTCAGCAATGAGAAAAAAAAATAGAAGTCCAGCGGTGAGAAGAAAAAAAACAATGCTTGTTTTTTTTTTCAGCCCCACACCATCAGACGAGCAAGTTACACAAGCCTGTGAAGTGAGAGCCCGAAGGCCAGCCCTGCAGGGTCCAGGTGACTTGCATGCCAACACCACCCACAGCAAGTCCTGGCGGGCACATCTGCCATCCCTCATACCAAGCACTTTATTGCACTGCTGGCCAAGCAGTGGAAGTCAAAAGTGTGTAAATGAGCTTTCAAGGCAGCCAATCAGACTTGGATTTGGCTCCCCTGCCAAAATGTGTCTTGTAGTATGCATTTGATCCCGCTACTCAATTTTTGTGCTGACATCAGGAAACAAACCTGTAAACAGTCTTGATAACAAAAAAAACAGGTTGCTCCGAGTCCCGACAGCTTCCGACCGTCACCGAAGCACTCAGTTTGGTCTCTGGTATTCATCCTCGACAGCTTCTATGCACATCAACAACCTCAAGATTGTGACTAATCATGTAGCCTTGTACCAACACTGTAACAGATACAATGCACTGTGTGTATCATGGAGAATTCTGCAAAGCTGCATGGCCAAAAGCCAAATTTGTTGAATCTCCTTGCAAATAAAAGCAGATTGGTCAGATAGTTTTTTTTATTGGGGCTCAGATACATAGTGATACATGGCAGATACTGTATCTGTTTCAGCGTTGCTTGTACTACATACTTGTCTTGTAGCTCCTGGTGAACCATAATCTCTTGATCAACGGTTGTGGTCAATTTCTGCGCAATAGTTTAGCCGAGCTGACTGGAGTCATATGTAATCGATGACATGGAACCATTTTTTTGGCCACTCCAACAGGTTGTATGTATGGGTACCAGCAAATGACAGCTGGACCTAGTATGCACGGTGTGGTGTGCTGTGCCTGTTCCAATGCCAAAAGCATACAGAATAGGAGATAGTGACACACACTTATCATTCATTACAAGAGGAGGAACATTCATTACGTAGGACATACAACATCAGGATACGGTATACATATGTAGGTGTGGTGTGTGCGTGGGTAGGTTATGTAATATGGGTTTATGTATCGTGTAATCAGTGGGAAAAGAACATAAGACAGTTGATGAGGAGGGGAGAAGGAAGGTAGGCGGAGAGGCATGGACCCTGAAGAATGAACAAGGAAGGAAGTAAGCAAGTGTTTCATCTGATGTTTCATATGTTGCTTCATCTGTTGGGATGAAACACAGAACATTTGGAATGTGGATTTGGTTTCCAAGTCACAGATCTCATAAGACTGTATACTGTACTGGATTACTGCTTTGGAAGGTTTCAGCACATGCTACATGGCTTGGTTTCATAGCAACCAATGACATCATGCTGTGCAAGTGTGTGTCACCTGCAGCAAAAATAACTCACAAGGAGTCCCTTGCAGCAGAAATCCCTCACTCTTCAATATAAAAGGAGGGCCTCTCTCCACCAGGATTCTCTTTTCCCCATCAACCTACAGGAGTAAGTTGGTCACAATTAGTTAGTAGTGCGTGTGTCAGAATTAGTTAAGTAAAGTCAGAGATTTATAAGTAGTAGAACCAGAACCCTTCAACCATAAAAAAGTGAAATTAAGTAGTATTGTTAACAAATAACAAATAACAAGTAATAGTAGTAGTAACACCAGAGCTCTAGTTGTGATTAAAGTGCCTTAGCAAGAAATTGTTCGAGGAAGAGATCATTAACAAACTCTAAATAACAAATTCAACTGTCTTGCGCTCAACCATAAGCGCCACAGTTTCCATTATTAACCTGAAGTTGTAACAGATTCATTAGTAGATTGATAAGTGATCTAGGTCTGATAGAGATTACTTTACAAAAGGAAGATCTATCTTGGAATCAGCCGCATATTATAAAATATTGATTACAAGACTCTTAGTTATTTGTTTAGTACAATTAGAGGGGCAGGTCTTTCAAACCACCCGTAAGTTGTAATAGCCTTTCAACCTATTTGCAATTTATTTCCCCCTCAGGGATCTTTTGATATACATATACTTTACCGTGTCTATCCGTCCCAGGAGTCCTACAACAGCCATAAGGTTTGACACTGATGTTTGGGGTCTTGGACTTGTCCAGGATTGGCCTCCCGGTATGAAGAGAAGATGATGGCCTTCCGTCCCAACGCGCCTCAACCCACAATATGAATATAATCAAGATGAAACTATTGCTCAGGTTCCACCACCTCATCTGAGGCAAATCAGCAGGATTGGTTTGTGGTCATCAAAAAGCAGGGGGAAAGTGGCCCGGAGCTCCCATCTCATTCACCGGTACCGGTAGCTTTGTGCCTCTTATTTTTTTTTTTTACTTTTTTTGATACATACATTCATCACTCTATACAAAATTAGTTCTTCCATTGTGCCATTTGCCATGTCTTTCTCTTCCAGATATCAAAAAATGATCTTCTGGCTCTATGCTACATGCGAGCCACGCAAAGCGGGTTTATTCCTGTAGCGGATACGTCTGCGGATATACATGGGTTGGGAGGAGGTTTAGACTCTCTTCTTATCCTCTTCCTAAATCGCTTTACATAAACTGAAAAACTTATCAGATATCTATCTACTTTCATCTTTGTGATCCGCCCCCCCCCCACACACAAAAAAAAGGTGCAAATTCGGCGAGCCGGATGGCTATGGACTCCACTACCCCAACATAGAGATGGTCGCGGATAATCCGCCGCGGATATCCGCTATCCGCTGGCGGATACCCGCCAGCGGGTGCGGATGCACCCTTCCACCTGAAATACTGGCCAGTATCCGGGTATCCCAAGGGATACCCGGTGCCAAGAGGCCACACCGCCAGGAGGAATCCCTCCCGGCAAGCTGGTTTTTAAACCAGCTTGTTGGGAGGGGTTCCTCCCGACGCGCTGGTCTGTGTACCAGCTCGTCGGGAGGGGTTCCTCCCGGCGAGCGTCCACAGGCCAACTCGCTGGGAGCGGTTCCTCCCAGCGAGCTGGTTTTTAAACCAGCTCGCCGGGAGGGGTTCCTCCCGACGAGCTGGTCTGTGTACCAGCTCGCCGGGAGGGGTTCCTCCCGACGAGCTGGTCTGTGTACCAGCTCGCCGGGAGGGGTTCCTCCTGACGAGCTGGTCTGTGTACCAGCTCGCCGGGAGGGGTTCCTCCCGACGGTGTGGCCTCTGCCCCTTTAGGCCGAGGGGGCTGGTTTTTTTTTTTCTTTTTTTTAAAAACAAAAACTCCTGGAAGAGCCTTGACGCCCATTCAGAGGGCGGGTATCCGCGGGTATCCGCGCGGATACCCACCAACGCTGGCGGGTATCCGCCGGCGGATGTGTGTTTCCGCTGAAATCGTGAGCGGATATCCGCATCCGCACGGATATCCGGATTCAATGCGCCCATCTCTACCCCAACATCCAATGGTTTAGCTTCGCTGGGTGGAATTCATCCCAACGGAAATGACCAATCCTTGTGCAAGAATGCTGCTACTCCCAAACAGTATCTTGCCAAAGCGGATGCTCATCGAAATGGGAATCCAAAGGAGGATTCCACCAGAGGCGAGATCCCTAATGGAAAGGTCTCCAAAGATGATGTCTCTGAGCAAAATGGTGCAAAATAGAATGGCCTCGGAAAGGAGAAGAACTTAAGAAGAAAGAGGAGAAGAAGAAACAGAAGGAGAAAAAGGAGAAAGAAAACAAAGAGGCTGAGCCGACAGGTATGCAAAAATTCACATCAACATTTGTAAAGAGATTTGAATCAACTGATCTCAATTTCTGATCTTCGACTCTGTTTTCTTTGTAGAAACCCTGCGAGTTGACCCAGTCCTCAGCTTCTTTGAACAATTCAAAACCATTCAAGAATCACCCAACATGAGATTGAAAACCGAAGAAATGGCTATGGATCTTGAAACCCTCAGACTAGAGATCGTTCGTTCGGACCTGGGTACCTGTTGGTACCTAGGTACCTGTTCATTTTTTTCAAGAAAATAGATACCTAGTACCACACCAGACACCTCCCGGGGGGTACCTAGGGTACCAGTTGTAGGTACCTCAGGTACCTCCCCTCTCTTTT